ACTAAGGAGGCTGTCGAGGTCCTGAACCGGTGCTTGGCCGCTGTGACGGTCTGGATGAGGGCGAACAAATTGAAATTGAATCCAGACAAGACAGAGGTACTACTGGTTAGTCGTAAGGCCGAACAGGGTATAGGGTTACAGCCTGTGTTGGATGGGGTCGCACTCCCCCTGAAGACGCAGGTTCGCAGTTTGGGTGTGATCCTGGACTCATCGCTGAGCCTGGAACCCCAGGTTTCGGCGGTGACCAGGGGAGCATTTGCACAATTAAAACTTGTGCGCCAACTGCGACCGTACCTTGGGAAGTCTGACTTGGCCACGGTAGTCCACGCTCTTGTTACATCCCGTCTTGACTACTGCAACGCTCTCTACGTTCCCATACCTTGGGAAGTCTGACTTGGCCACGGTAGTCCACGCTCTGGTTACATCCTGTCTAGACTACTGCAACGCTCTCTACATGGGGTTGCCTTTGAAGACGGCTTGGAAGCTCCAGCTAGTCCAACGCTCGGCAGCCATGATACTAACAGGAGCAGAGCGCAGGGAGCATACAACTCCTCTGCTGCACCAGCTCCACTGGCTGCCGATTTGCTACCGGGCTCAATTCAAAGTGCTGGCGTTGGCCTATAAAGCCCTAAACGGTTCTGGCCCAAGTTACCTATCCGAACGTATCTCTGCCTATCAGCCCGCCAGGACCTTAAGATCTTCTGGGGAGGCCCTGCTCTCTATCCCGCCTGCTTCACAGGTGCGGCTGGCGGGGACGAGAGACAGGGCCTTTTCTGTGGTGGCCCCCCGGCTGTGGAACGCCCTTCCTATGGAGGTAAGATCAGCCCCTTCGCTAATGGTGTTCCGAAGAAGATTAAAAACTTGGATGTTTGAACGGGCATTCGGTTAAACAGTGCAATGAATGTGATGATTACAGGAATGGAAATTTGGACGACGGATTGGATCACGACTCTAGTTATGAGATGCATTGTGTTGTCTATTGTTGTGTCAATATTGTATATTATGCTTTTATGGTTTTAAATTGTATATCGTTGATTGATTCTTATCCTTGTTGTAAACCGCGTTGAGTCGCCTGTTGGGCTGAGAAACTGCGGTATACAAGTAAAGTAAATAAATAAATAAATAAATACTACTTCTGTAGAAACCTTATGTCTGGTAAGCCTGAGCCTCAGTAACAAAAATACGCGTGTGTACCTCTCATTTTATGAGTTGTCATCTCCTTAAAGTTCAATAAACCTGTTATTAGTTCATCGTTAACTTGTCTCTGCCTCGGCCTGTCATACTTAGTGAAACCAAGTCAGCCTAAACCTCTTTATAGTCCAGTCAGCAAGCAAAGGAGCCCAAAAAGAAGAACCAGAAGCCTAGGCACATATTACCTCAAATACATTCACACCTTGGTTCCTCAAACAGTAAAATTGAGGTGGTGGCGGCAAAAGTCTACCAGCATCATCGGTCTCTCACATCATTAGTCATTCCCTCACTCAAATTCCTGTCACGCAAGGTGATCGGTCAGCGTTCTCTATTACAGAGGTGTCAGGTGGGGATTTAAAAGCAAAGATCTTCCCTGCCAGTAATACATCACAGTGGATCCCCTTGCGTTGGGTGGGATCCGCAGCACATTCTTCCTTACATTGGTGGCAGCGGTGAAATTGAAAGGTTCCCCCCTGTCACACAGGTGCGTTGAGGGACCCCTTGTCTTGCGTTCATCTTAGTACAAAAGACCTTAAAGTTGAATAAAAAGTGAAATAAGAAGAATTATGCTAGCTGGTGAAAGTTAATAGGTTTTGGATCTAAAACATAAACAGATTGTTATGGAATACCACATACTGATCAATGAAATGCTAAAAAGAAATGATAGAATGCTATTATTATTATTCATGTCAGGAGCGACTTTAGAAACTGCATTTCTGGTGTGAGAGGATGTTGTCCAGGGAATTCCTGGATGTTTTTTTAAAAATTATTTTTATTGAAAAGATTGTTTCGACGTATACAAATTGACAAACAAGACGAACAATACAAATAAATTTATATACAAAATTAAAAGGGTAGTTGCCTTAAAGGCTGTATATTTCTCTCTATGTATTATATTCTACGCAATCATCCATGACTATTTTCTCAAGTCGTATTCGTTCCTATCTACCAAGTTATTTACCTAGCCCAAATTCCTAAACTAAATGTTGTCATAGCCGCCCCTCCCCCTACAACACATTTCGATATCTATACACATCAGTACATAAATACATAAATACATATAGTTTCCCCCTAACTTCCAGGAACCTCAAGCAACCTGAGTTTAATTCATTCCCAACGTATTTTGTTTTGATGATTAATTTTTAACCTACTTTTAATATCACTTCCGGAATTCTTCTTTCCTTCCTATTTTAACAATATTTGAGGTTATTTTTCTTTAGGAAATTAATGAACTTGTTCCAGTCGGTGTTATCTGTTGTTGTTCTATTTTTTCTTATTTTTTGTGTTAGCAAGTCCATATTCATGATATCCATAGCCTTATTGATCCATGAATCAAAAGTTGCTGTGTTTTCAGTTTTCCATATGCAGGCAATACATATCCTTGCTGCCATGGTCAAGTAAAAGAAGATTTTATCATCGTTCTTATTCAGTTTTAGGTTAGTCATTCCTAGTAGGAAATATTCTGGTTTGAGTTCAAAATTGCGTTGGAAGATCTCTCTCATTTTTCTATGTACCTCAGACCAGAACTTTTTAACAACTCCACACTCCCACCACATGTGCTTGAATGTACCCGTTTTCTTCCTACATCTCCAGCACTTTTTATCAATCTTCCCCTTGCTATATTTCGCTAGTTTTTCAGGGGTTTGGTACCATAGATAGAACATCTTTACCCAATTTTCTTTGATCTCTGTAGCATACACATACTTCAGTTTTTTTACCCATACCTCCTCCCACTCTGACATGGTGATCGTGTGTCCTACCATTTTAGCCCACTTAATCATGACTTCCTTAACCTGTTCCTCCTCCGTTGCCCACAGTAAGAGTTGTTGGTACAGTCTTTTGATCAGCTTGCTTTCCATTTTTATTATTTTATCCCACAAAGTTTCTTTAAGTTGAAATCCTACTTTTCTGTCTTCCCTAAAGTTTTCATTGACTTGCCAGTACTGGAACCAAGAAAACTTGGGTTCTATTTGTTGTATCTCCTCCAGTGTTTTAATTTTTATTTCTTGGTTGTTTATATTAAGCAATTGTTTGTATGTCAGCCATCTGTCATTTGATGTTTCCCTTCTCTGGTCCGCCTCATTTGGTGACAGCCACATCGGTGTCCTAGTATACCATTTTCCTTTGTATTTGTTCCATATTTTAATCAGCGATGCCCTGATAAAGTAGTTGTTGAATTTTCTTTCCACCGCAACCTTTCCTTTCCATAAATAACTATGCCAGCCTCTGTTAAGATCTTCTCCTTCTAATGCTAGCATTTTGTTGTTTTTTAGTATGGCCCAGTCCTTAACCCAAGTCAGCGCCGCTGCATCGTAGTAAAGCTGGAGATCCGGCAGTCATAATCCACCCCTCTTCGTTTCATCACTTAAGTTTCTGAATTTTATTTTGGCTTTTTTATTTTGCCAGATAAATCTATTAATGTCTTTTTGCCATTTATCTAGGGTTTTTTTGGTTCTTACTATTGGGATCATTCGGAATAAATATAGGACCTCCGCAAGAATGTTCATTTTAGTCAGCGCTATCCTTCCTAAAAGAGATGTCTAACTTCTGCCATTGTCCCATTTTTTCCTTTATCTTCTTCCATTTGGTATCATAATTATTTTTAAGTAGTTGAGCATTGCTAGCTGTTAACTGAATCCCCAGATATTTTACCTTTGTTACAACTTCAATCCCTGTTTTCTTCCATAGTTCTTCCTTCCACTTTCTTGACATGTTCTTAATCAAAAACTTAGTCTTGTCTTTATTTATATTCAGCTCTGCCACTTCTCCGAATGACTCAATTTCTGCCCACCATTTGTCCCACTGTTCTATTGGGTCCTCCATTAGGCACATCACATCATCCGCGAATGCGGCTACTTTGTACTTGTGTGATCTCACCTTTAATCTTTTATTTCTTGATTATTTCTAATGCTTTCCAATAGTACCTCTAGGGTCAAGATGAAGATCAGTGGGGACAGTGGACATCCCTGTCTAGTTCCCCTATTTATCTTTATTAATTCAGAGATCTGTCCATTTACTATGATTCCAGCGGATTGTTGTGCATATGTTGCCTTGATTGCGTTCATAAAGTGAAAACCAGCGTCCATTTCTTTCAGTAGTTCAATTATAAATCCCCAATTGACCCTGTCAAAAGCTTTCTCGGCATCCAAGAATAGAAGCCCTACCTCTTTTTGTATACGTCTCTCGTAATATTCTATTGCATTAAGAATCAATCTGGTGTTATTACTGATTTGTCTTCCTGGTAGAAAGCCGGTCTGATCTTCATTTATCCTTGAATTGAGAACCCTTTTCAGCCTTGATGCTAGTAATCCCGAGAAGATTTTATAATCGACATTAAGTAAGGAAATTGGTCAAAAATTTTTAACTTTTGTGTTATCCTGCTCTTCTTTGGGTATTAAGGTTATATGTGCAGTCCTCCATGAGTCTGGTATCCTCCTCTCCTCTAAGATTTTATTTATTACTTTCGTCAGATGCGGTGTTAATACATCACTGAAAGTTTTATAGTATTTCTCCGTAAGTCCATCTGGACCAGGGGATTTGTTTGGGGGTAGATCTGCTATTATCTTCTGTACTTCATCCTCTGTCACTTTCTTATTCAGTATTCCTCTTTCCTCTTCTGACAGTCTCTTCATTTTCTGTTTTCCCAAATACTGAGTAACCTTTTCTTTACGGATATTATCATCCGCATATAGTTTCCTATAGAATTTGCGGAATTGCTCTTCAATTTCTGTTTGATTAATGTTGCATTTCCCTCCTTCTTCTATTTTGTTTATATGTTGTTTATGCTTTTTCTTTTTAATTTTCCATGCTAGATATTTCCCTATTTTATTTGCATTTTCGAAATGATTTTGTTTCACATATTTTAGTTTTTGACTTATTTCCTCTAATTGGTATGAGTTCATCCTTTTCTTTAATATGTCCAATTGTAGACACATTTTCTTGTTATTTGGGTTTTTCTTAAGTTCTACCTCTGCATTTTGGATTTCCTCCTCTATCTTTCTAAGTTCGCCATTTCTAATTCTGTTTCTCAATGCTTTCTGTTGTATAAAGTAACCTCTTATATATGCTTTAGATGTATCCCATATAATGTCCATTGTTGTATCCTTTTCCATGTTGATATTGAAGAACTCCTCCAGTACCTTCTTGTTAGTCTCCTGATCCTTGTGTTCTCTTATTAGCTGTTCATCTAATCTCCATTTAAATATTTTTTTACTATTGTCTGTGTTCTCAAGGATCACTTCTATCGGGGAGTGATCAGAGTTTATTCTTGTCAGGATCTTGGCTTTTGTAGTTTTTGAGACAATTGCTTTTGTTCCCCATATCATGTTTATATGGGACCATATATTGTGTTGGTTCGAGAAGAAGGTAAAATCCTGTTCATCTTTGTGAAGGTGTCTCCATATGTCTAGCAATCTTAGGTTTTCTTTTAATAGTTTAAAGTCTCTCGGGAGTTCTCCCATGTAGTAGTTATTTGTCTTTTTTGTTCCTTTAGATTTACCAATTTTACTGTCTATGACCCCATTGAAGTCACCCGTGATGATTAAATCATCATAGTCCTGCTCTAAAATCTTCTTTTGTAGCGTTTCTACAAATTTAGTTTTCACACCATTTGGAGCATAGATATTGCACAGCAGCACATTCCTCCCACCAAATTGTATAGTAATACCCAGGATTCTCCCCTCCTAATCTTTAAAAATCTGTTTTGATGGTATCGCTTCTTTGACATATGTTACTACCGCCCCTTTTTTTCTCCTCCAGACGCACAATACATTTTCCCCAGTTTCTTTTGTGTTAGATGGGCTATATGCTTATGACAGATATGGGTTTCCTGTAAAGAAATTATATCGAATTGCCCTTTTTGAAGTTGGTGCCAAATTTTCCTTCGTTTATTTGGGTTATTTAAACCGTTTACATTGTTTGAAAACATTTTAATACTTTTTGCCATCTGTTTCGTCTTTTTCTCTGTCAGTAGCCGTATTCGCCAAAGCTGAGTCCGCATAGCTCTTATGTTCCTTTGGGGATACTTCTCTTGGTCTTTTTCTTTGTCTTGCCTGGTTGTTTTCCTGATCATCTTCTTCTCCCCGTCCATCCTTTCCTTCACACTCCTTTGGGTCCTCACCTTCTTTCCCCATGTATTTGTCGAAGAATGCCCTTGCTTTAAGTTTTGTCGTTAACCAATGTTTGTTGTCTTCCCAAGTGACCATTATTCCTTCTCTCTTCTCCCATTTAAATCTTATGTTCCTTTTTTTAAGCTCATCGGTGAGGAAGAAGTATTTGCATCTTCTTTCTAAGACTGCTTTTGGATGTTCTTTTAAGATTGCAACTTTGTTTCCTTTATAGTAAGTTGGTCTTTTGGCATTCTCCTTTAATACTTTGTCTCGCACACTTTTCTTCCCAAAACACACCACCACATCTCTCGGTACATTGTATCTTTTCGCATAGTTTGATTGGATTCTAAAAGTTCGGTCAATGTTGTCCTCGCTCTCTTCACGACTAAGTTGGAGAAGCTGCGCCACCATATTTGCAATTATTTCTCTGATATTCTCTTTATCTTCCTCCTGGATGTTCCTAAATCTTAGTTGGTATTCTTTTTCTTTAGCCTCTAAGATTTCTTGTTGCGTTTGCAGTACCTCTATTTTTTTCTCCACGATGTGTACGGTTTTTTCCAATTCTCTCTGATGATGTTTAATTGCTTTACTTTCTTTGGCATCTTCTTTCCTTTCTTGTCTTAATGTCTCAATTTCTTTATAGATGTTTTTCACTTCTTCCTTCATTGCCATTTGCACCTCCTCCTTGACCTCCCTCTTCATCTCTTCCATTTCCTTCTTGATGCTGTTGTACTGCTTGTCTTGTTTTCCTTCTATTCTATTAACATCTGTTTGCAATTTTAGGATCTCTCTCATTAGATCTTTCATAGTCAATTCTTCCTTTTTAAGTATAGTTTCTTCTGCTGATGGGTCTTTTGTTAATGAGTCTTTCCTGTTTTGCATTTTCTTCTCTTTCTCCTTATCTCTATCTTTATCCATCTTCACTTTTGGTATCATCATGTTTCCCTTCCTTTCTCGGTCTGGCCTCACTCTGTCATTGTCTTGCTGTGTCCACTGGCAATGTCACAAATTGTATCTCTATCCCACGTCCTTCTAGTATCTGTATTATTTTCAACTTACACACATTCCCTCATTGGTTCCTGGATGTTTTGATGTTTTACCATTCATGTGGGAGGCTCTCATGTCTCCGCATAGGAAGCTGGAGCTGACAGAGGGAACTCATCCATGCTCTCCCCGGATTCGAACCTCCGACCTGTTGGTCTTCAGTCCTGCCAGCACAAGGGTTTTACCCATTGCACCACCGGGAGCTAATATAGTGTGAATTATCCATATCTATTGTTTGGAAAATATCAATAAAAGATTGTTTTAGGAGAAATGTAAATGTTAGCATATCTGGTAAGAAGTAGATTCTTCTACATATGCAAGGGATTCCTTTTGGTTGAGTAGAAACCAAAATTTTGGCTGATGGTATAGCTTTCAGAAAATATTGTTATCTTCTCTGCGAGCACTTTTGCATGTGATGTAAATATAACTCATTTTCTCTGCTGCAGATGGCACCGAATCAGACAGAAGAACCTTGCATAATGCAGACAATGCTGAGTTTTCTCATTTAAAAAACAACAACAACCTGGAAACCTTCCCAGATTATACATCTGTCTCTAAGTTATATTTTACAAAAGAGGGTCAAACAGAAATGACATGCAGATGATTAATATCCACATCACTTGCAACTGATCTTCCTTAGCTTTCTCCTCCAATCATTTCAGCTAAAGTAAATCAGCTTAGGGAAGCCTATACAAGGTTCAACAACTATATAAACTATTACATTTGGAAAATATTATAAAGTAATAATAAAACAACAGCTAGATATTGAAAGCATCTAGTTATTGATTGAAACACATGTCTACATACATACACATACAGTATGCAATTACACATTTATGGTGATATATTGAGGACGAATTACTTGTTTTATTCTGCTGCTCCTTGGTAAGATAATAAAGATACTCTATGGGTTATTAATATTTATCACAACAATACTGCTTGTAACCTTTGCTATCTAAAAGTACAACTGAAAGCACATTGCTATGCTATTGTCCTGTTGCTGTTATAGAATTTGTCTTAAATGTGGTAGACAAGGTAGTTTTTTTAATTGGGCTCCATTATAATGATAATCTCCTTTCATAGTATTTATACTGATATATCTTGTCTCACATTAATATATTATTGCAATCTTTCTCAAATTATGGTTTCTCAAAACAGAACTATGTGTAACTTTGCATAGTGATTTCATTCCATGTAATTAGCACAAAGAAGCTAAAATCAATTTCTTTGTTTACATTCTTTGACAGAACTTCTCTTCAGTTCAAATCCTAGGATTCTTGTCACTCAGGTTGCTCTTTTTTTAGAAAGTTGGCAGTGAGTCATATCAGATATTTGGCACAATGGAACTGAGATACACAAATCTCAACAGATCACATTATCTCACAGATTTTAGTAGAGTCAAGATCTGCCCAAAGGTAGTTCCCTTCTGGAAACAGTAATGAAAATGATGGAGAAAATCCCATTAAAGGTGGATTTAGATATGATATTAATGGGAGTAATAAATCCTTTCCTTCATCTGATATTCAGACCTCAAGGCAATTTCTGTTCAGGATTATGTGGCTAGGTTGCTCATTGGGTTCAATGTGGTAAAGTGTGACCAGTCTTTCTTGTAGATTATCAAATTAGAAATATAGACAGAGATGTTGAAAATAAAAAAGTAAAGATTTACTATATAACAAATTCATTAAACATGTAACCTAGTCTGGTTTCACAAATACATAGCACCAAGTAATATTTGAGTTTCTGACAAAGGAACACTTCTTAATTCTTTCCACATTCTCATCTCCCATAACTTTGCCCAAATATTATGATCTATTTTCTTTTCCTAACATCTTTAAATCTCTTTCTGACTGCACTGTACAATCGTAGCATGCATTATGTAAATAACCTGCTTTAAAACTGCATTCAATTGTCAGTGTAGATGTATTTTAGGTTATAACTTTTTCCCTACTGCCCCACTCTCACAGTAGCCCATGAGCTGTGACTGGCTGGCTCCACCCGGGCTTTCCCACCTACTTACTTCTTACAGACTATATCTATGGATATTCATTTGTGGAGGGATGAGTAGCTCCCGCCCACAAATTTCCAATCAATTCATCCAAAGCTGCATATAGGCATATACCATGTCCATATTCTCAGTACTGCTACAGACATTGCATATTTGAACAGCCTATGGATAAATATGTGAAACCTCAGACAGGAGGTCAAAGGAGGGAAACCCTGTTTCTACATATCAAGCCATTACTATGTTGCACAGATACAAACATTACTAAGCATCTTAGATACTGCATTTGAGTTAAGCTTTTACTCCTTCTTTAGGGCCCAATAGATAATTCACTTCTTCTGACCTGAAACCTATCAACCTGTCAGTTTCAAAACTAATCTCCCCACACTTCTGCCCCTGGAATGCTAAAATTCTTTATTGGACAAGCATTACTTCTGTTCCCAGGCAGTGGCCAGTTTGTGTCACATGTAGATGATAAATAGGACAGCTGCAGGGAAGGTGAGGTGTATTTTAAAGATCTAGGTAGCAGTACTTCTTTATTGGTTGTATTGCTACCTATGGAGGTTTGTCTTATTAACTGCCACATTCCAGCTATGGTACTCAATGCTGGCCAAGTCATACATAACAAGGAAAAATACCTTCCCTGTAGTTAATACATTTTCACTACAATAGTAGGCTGCCCTGAGATATATGTGCTTCTGCACTCACACTTGTAAATTATGCCTATGCTTCTCTCTTGCAATCACAAAGCAAAGCATGCTATCTTGCAACATACAAGAAGTGATAAAAGCTCCTGCTAGGACAAACAGGCATCTTTCGCCACTTCAGCAAGACATAACCTAGTTACTAAACAGGACAAAGTATACCTTGGGGAAAAGTGCATCTCCTGTTATGCTTCTAGTCTAAATGAAGTGTGAGCCATGGTTGTCAGCTAACTGAGGAACATGGAATAAATTCAGGTGATTCTGTGAGAATACTGCTGTTTTGCTATCCAATTAAAAGAGATGCTCCTGACTAGACTACTCTATTTTCTTGGCAATAGCAAGAGCTTTTGAAGCAGACAGATGGTGTAAATGTGAAAAAGAATCTAGAACCACAAATGGCCAGGATCCTGAGCATACTTCATAGGTATTGAGTATCCTACATTCATTCCATAATAAAGGAGTGGCAATGGTTAAAGAAAGCAGTGGGCAACCTGTGCTGACCTCTCTCCAAAATGCTCCTCTCTATTCTGTCATTCTGAATTATTGCTAATAATTGCTCCATTTGTTGTAATAATACAGTCTTCTTCCATCACTATACTGGCAAAAAGACACAAAAAGTATACATATTTTACATAGCTTCAAAATTAATCATTTATAATTATATATAGAATACAAAACACAGTGCAGTTTAATGGTTTGAGCATTCAAAAATGATTCTGGAGACCAGAACTCAAAGCTATGGAAACCTATGAGTGATCTAGAAGAATGTCAGCCCCTCGTCCTTAGTGGATGGCAAAGGTAAACCCCTCTGAACAAATCTTATCAAGAAAACCCTATGAAAAGTTCACCTTAGGGTTGGCATAAATGGCTTAAATGGTCACATGTAAGAGAGTAGCTTTCATTTGTAAAATAACTGGAATAATAGTATCACAAAGTTGGAAGAGACCACATGGGCCATCTAGTCTAACCCCCTGCCATGCAGGAAAAGCACAATCAAAGTACCCCTGACAGATGGCCATCCAGCATTTGTTTAAAAGCCTCCAAAAAAGGAGTTAACACCACATTCCAAGGCAGAGAGTTCCACTGTTGAACAGTTCTTAGTGCTACTAAAAATAACCAATACATTGTTTTTCAATACATTCCCATTCTTTGTACTGTATGATCACCTTTTAAACATTGTAGAAAGAAATGTTTGATCTTTATCTAGGCAGATACCTATTCTATCTCAGTTAAAGTTATACAAATTGCATGAATCACTGAACTATTTTTAGTCAAAGGACTGTATGAAGGCATCAACACTTTATGAAAACACCTTCAAATATTAAGACAGATTCAGTATGGAATCAGCAAATTAGTTTGGATGGAGAAGAACTGAACCACAAACTGCAAGCCAAATGTAATGAGGCTTGTCAAAGACAGCAAACCAATGTTAAGAAGTTACTTACGCCTGTCGGTCCCGATACATCTTGTTGACTTTTTCCCATTGGTAAGTAAGCTGTGTCAGCTTATCCTGTATTCTTGCAGCTTCTGCAGGTGTGGCACTTTTCAAAACTGCTGTCTTCTTATTACGAATAATTTCAATCTGACCTGAGTATCTTCCTAGGCTGTCTTTAATTTTCTGAAATGCCATATTAAATAACAATAGAAAAATAACAAATAAAGATAATGTCAAGGTTAACTGAAAAGTAACCACAAACTATTGCCTAAAAATGTAATAGATCTTAACAAAGAATGATACACCCACAGAAGAATGCATGAAGCACTGTGTGCTGTGGGTAGAAACCACAAATGTAAATCATGTTCTTGTTTTTAACAATGAGTTTGTCTTAACACTTTAAACATCCCACTGAAAAAATGGTCAAACACAACTTTTCTTTACATTTCAGGAGTTTATTTTCTTTTCAAAAAGTCATTAGCACAAACAACATTGTATGCAAAACATTTGTGCAAAAACTAAAAACATTTTTAAAGTCCTCAAATATGAAAAAAATAATTAAAATATATACCCCAAAACTCGCACTCTTTTCCAGTGAAGATGCACTTAAAAAACCTTTACTTTTTAATGTTGGACCAAAGTAAGCAAAATGTTTACAATTCTAGTTGGAATGTCCTATAGATGAGATTACCAGAGTTATTACCCCGTGAAAAAAAAAAATAGAAAAAATCTCATTGAAGAAGAAAAACTGTAAAACTGAGGGAGAGATTAAAGGACTTGGAGAAGGGCTAAGTTATTATGAACTAAAATCATTTTGTGTATACATTGATAGGTATGGAAATAAAACGTGTGGCTAAATGACCAAATTTTTAAATTGTTTTAAATGCCATCAGATATTTTGTGACTGACTAAAAGAAGGACTCTTTTATCATTTCTAGTATCAGAGACGGGAGGAATGGGAGAGAAGCCCATTAGCAGATGAAGCAACAACACTGTTTAGGAACAGGGTCCATTATATCACTTCTAAAAAGTCAAATCAAATCAGTAGAATTTTCAATGG